CTTGGTGAACGTCTTTCAAGGTAGATTTCCCTGACTTCTAGAGGGAAAGCTTAGGAGAGAGGAAGGAGCCTGGCTGTTCTTAGGACACTTCTCTCATTCGGAGGAGGCAGCCTCAATTTCGGTTCAAGGTAGGGTACTTCCAAGGGAGCGAGTTTTTGTTCTCAGTAGTTTCAAGGTGATTCAACATAGCGTGAGTCTCCTTCTTCTTTACTAGGTAGAATCCTTACTCGCCTTGCGATATCGCGATGGGAACGGTACTGGAGTTTCGTGAGGGGGATTCTTAGAAATTCGATTGGGTCGTAACTTCTTGGCTGTCATCAGGATCACTAGCTTCCTGGTTTCTTTTGATGGGGGTGGGAGGGGGCTCTTCCTTGTCAATTAAATCCTTCCTCTGTTTTTAGTGGATGTGAGTACAGGGATTCTTCACTACTTGTGTCTTATTATAGAGAAAAGGTTCTTTCGCGGTAGGGAGGTTGATTCATTTTTGTGTGCTCTTGCCATCTCGGAAAAGCGAAGATTGGTTTTTGATTAGGGGGGGGCCCAGAGGTTGGCATATTGTAGCCTCATAATAATTAGTGCCAATAGGGGCTTCCTTAGACTGGTGTTCCCAACACTTATTGAACAACCAAAGGGAGCTTTGTAACGCGCAGTTAGAGGGGTCAAACGGGTTGGGGGGGAGCATGGGTTATTCGCCCCTGAATGTATGAGTGTAGGTGGGTGGGAGGGAGGTGATCCACACTTTAAAAGGGGGGTTAGTGGGGGTTAGGGGGTGGTGGAACATAATGGGTAGTGGTGTGGGGGGGGAGGAATTACACAGCGGTTTTTTGTTGTTTTTTAAATTAGACGTGTGGCGCGAATATTTCGGACCCTTTAGGTGCAAACTGGGGCTGGGGGTAGGTGGCTTGGTTATTATGTTAGGGGAGATAAGGGAAGGGTTGGTGAAGTTCTATGATTGGGGAAGTTTAGGGGGTCAAGGATTTTAGGGTTTTGTAGTGGGGAATAAAGGGGTTGGTAAACAAGGGTAGTTACAGTTGCGGGGGCTGAACGGGGGGGGGGCAGCGGAAGCGGGTGGGTCGGTTGGGAATAGTAGGGAGAGTTGAAAGTTCGTCTTTGTAAGGCTCGGGGGTTTAGGAGGTGGAGTGGGAGGGGCAGGGTGACGGGTGATTGTGGGTGGAAGGCGAGGAGTTTCGGGTAGGTGGGTGATAACATTCTGGGGCAGGATGGGATTGAGGGAAGAGGGGGGGATGGGGGAGGGGGAGAGGGGGGGTGCGGGGGGACTTGGTTTGATGGAGTGGGGGGGAGTGGCTGGAGTCGTGGTATTACCTCCACGATGGTCCGGAGGGTGGAGGGGGGGTACAAAGGTAATGGTGACAGTTGCGGTGGGTATATCCGGGGGGGTGAGGACGGGATTAGGGGTGGGAAGCGGGAACAGTTTCAGGCTTGATGGGGGGATTGGTGTGAGGTGGGGGGTGGATTAGGTGGGGATAAGGATAGTGTGGTTGGATGTGGTTTGGGGTTTGGAGGGATTGGGAGGTCACAAAACCGATGACGGGGGGGGAGGATGGGTGAAGTTGTGAGGAATTGTGGTTTGGTGTTGAATAGGGAGTTGGATGGTAATTATTGCAGTGGGGCGGGGGGATGGGGGAAGTTTATGGGGGTATTGAAGAGGATCGGGTAGCGGAGTAACACGAAGAGCGATAAGCAGGGTTGGGAGGAAGGGTGGGGTGGGGTGGAGGAGAGGAATGGATGGGGGAGGAGGCAAGGAGTGGGGGGGGACGGGGGGAATAAGGATGTGGGATTAGGGGTGGGATTGGGGGGGATTTATGACTGTGTAGGGGATTGAGTTGGGTTGTTGAGGGGGAGGGACAAGGGACATATTGTGGATGGAGGGCGCGGGAAGGGGGACCTGGGAGATGAGGATTGGGAGGGGAGTGAGATGGAGGAGGACGAGGGCCGGGGATTGCGTCTAAGGGTTTTATAGGCGGGAATGGAGGGTAGGAGGGGGGTGGTGGGGGAGGGCAAGTTGGTGGTATGTGGGGAATGGGAGGACCATGTGCGAGGATTTTGGGGGGGTGGTTGTAAGGGGTTAGGGGGGCGGGGTAATGAGGGATGGTTGGGGATGGGTAGGGGAAAGAGGGGAGGGCGGGGAGGGGCTATTGATGGGGATGTTACTTGGGGAGTACATAGGGGGCTCATCCTGGTTGTTGTGGGAGGGGGAGGGGGATGTGGATGGGGGGGGGGGGGGGGGTGTGGGTGGGGGTGGGGGGGGGGGTGAGTAATGGCTGAGGGGGGGGTGGGATACTGGGGCGGGGAGAAGTGGGGAGGGACTGGTTGGGGGTGGATGGGAAGGCTTGGGGCAGGATGGGGGGGTTGGGGGGGTGTGGGGGGGGGGGTGGTTGGAGGGGGGGGAGGGGGGGGTAACAAGGAGGAGTGGGGGGGTGGGGGAGGTGGAGGGTTGAGGTGGGGGGGGTTTGGTGAGATTTGCGGGGGGGGAGGGGTGGGGGGGAGGAAGGGAGGGGCACTGGGTGGGTGGGAGGGGGGATGGTGGGGGGGGTAGGGGGGCATGGGGTGCAGAAAGGGGGGTAGGTGGGGGGGTAGGGGGGGGGGGAGAAGGGGGATGGGAATGGGGATGTGTCGGGGGGAGGAAGGGGGGGAGGCAGGGGGTGGGTGGGAGGACCTTGATGGGGGGTGGGTCCAGGGGTTGGGGGGTGGGGGGAGGGGGGGGGGGGGGAATTGGGGGGCCCTAGAAGGGGGGGGGGGCGTGTGGGGGGGGAGGGGGAAACGGGGGGGAGGGGGGGGGGGATCGGGGGGGGGAGGGGTAGGAGGGGGGGGGAGTGGGGTGGGGTAATTGGGGGGGACAAGGGAGGGGTCGTTAGGGGTGGGGGGAGGGGGGGAATTTGAGGGGGGGAGGGGATTGGAGGGGGGAGGACGGGGGGGGGGTGGAGTTTTGGGGAGGGGGGGTGGGGGGGGCCGGTGGGGTGGATGGGCGAAGGGGGGGGGGGTTTTTATGAGTTCTTTTATTGAAGGGGGAGGGGAAATTTTTGGGGGTTTTGGGGGGGGAGGGAGGGTGGGGGTGGGGGAGAGGAAATGGGGGAGAGGGGGGGTGGTGGGGGAGGATGAGTTGGGGGGGAAGGGAGTGGGGAGGGGGGTGGGGGGCGGGGAAGGTTGAGGGTGGATTTATTTTGAGGTGCGGGGGAGGATTGGGGGGGGGGGGGGAGGGGGTTGGAGGGGGGGTGGGGGGAGTGGGGGGGGTGGGGGGAGGGGGGGAGGGGGGGGGGGGGGGCGAGGAGAGGGGGTGGGAGGGGGATGAGTGGAGGTCAGGGGATGGGGGCAGATTTGGGGGATGGATTTTAATTTTAGGGAGAGGGGGGTGGGGGGGGGGGGGGGGGGGGTGGAGGGGGGTGATGGGGAAGGATGTGGATTGGGGTAAGTGGAGGGGGGGGGGAGGGATTGACAGAGAGGGGGGGAGGGGGAACACCATGAGTGGGGGGGATACATGGGGGGAGGGGGAGGTGCGGGAGGGTTGGGGGGGGGGGGGGGTGGAGGGGTGGAGGGGGGAATAGGGAGAGTTGGGGGGGGTATCACTGAGTGTAGGCCAGTGGAGGGATTGGAAGAGAGGGTGGAGGGCACTGAGTGTAGGCCAGTGGAGGGATTGAAAGGGGTGGGGTGAAGTGTAGGCCAGGGAGGGGGCACTGGTGGAGGCCAGTGGAGGGATTGGCAGAGAGGGGTGGAGGACACTGAACGGTTGGTAAGGTGAATTAGCCTGGCAGCAGTATTCATGATGGAGTGGAGGGGGTGTGGCCTATGTAAAGGTCGGCCAATGAGGAGGGAGTTGCAGTAGTCGAGTGAGAGATGACCAGAGAGTGAATTAGGAGTTTGTGGTCTCATGGTTATAAAGGGGCGTATTCTGGAGATGTTGCAGAGGTTGAGGTGCCATAATTTGTACAGGGATTGGATGTGGCCTGAAAGAATAGTTCAGAATCCAGGGTTACCCCTAGCAACCTGGTATGCTGGGGATGGGTTGATAGTGGTGATATTGATCCTGGGAATCAGGGGAAGAGGCACGTGGGGGAGGAAGTATTATGAGCTCAGTTTCGGATAGATGGAGTTTGAGGAAGTGGTGTGACATCCAGTCTGATATGTCTGTTAGTAAATCGGAGCTGTGTGAGGAAACTGATGGAGTGAGCTGAGGTGAGCATGTCTTTATGGACCTTGCTTTGTGCACTGGTGCGCAGTCATGTTGGAACAGGAAGGGGCCATCCCCAAACTCCTCCCACAAAGTTGGGGGCATGAAAGTGTCCCAAAATGTCACCTTAAGAGCTCCTTTCATTGGAACTAGGGGGCCAAGCCCAACACCTGAAAAACAATCCCACACCATAATCCCCCCTCCACCAAACTTTACACTTGGCACAATGCAGTCAGGCAAGTACCGTTCTCCTGGCCACCGCCAAACCCAGACACGTCCATCGGATTGCCAGACAGAGAAGCGTGATTGGTCACTCCAGAGAACACGTCTCCACTGCTCTAGAGTCCAGTGGCGGCGTGCTTTACACCATGGCATCCGACGCTTTGCATTGCACTTGGTGATGGAAGGCTTGGATGCAGCTGCTCGGCCATGGAAACCCATTCCATGGAGCTCTCTACACACTGTTGTTGGGCTCATCTGAAGGCCACACCAAGTTTGGAGGTCTTTAGCTATTGACTCTGCAGACAGTTGGTGACTTCTGCGCACTGTGCGCTTCAGCATGCGCTGACCCCGCCCTGCCATGTGACGTGGCCTACCACTTGGTGGCTGAGTGGCTGTTGTTCCCAGTGGCTTCCACTTTGTTATAATCCCACTAACAGTTGAGCGTGGAATATTTAGTAGCCAGGAAATGTCACGGATGGACTTATTGCCCAGGTGGCCACCTATCACGGGACCACGCTTGGGGTCACTGAGCTCCTGAGAGCGACCCATTCTTTCACCAATGTTTGTAGAAGCCGTCTGCATGCCTAGGGGCTTGATTGTATACACCTGTGTCCATGGAGGGGATTGGAACACCTGAATCACATGATTGGGAGGGGATTGGAACACCTGAATCACATGATATGGAGGGGATTGGAAACACCTGAATCACATGATATGGAGGGGATTGGAACACCCGAATCACATGTTATGGAGGGGATTGGAACACCCGAATCACATGATATTGAGGGGATTGGAACACCTGAATCACATGATTGGGAGGGGATTGGAACACCTGAATCACATGATTGGGAGGGGATTGGAACACCTGAATCACATGATATGGAGGGGATTGGAACACCTGAATCACATGATTGGGAGGGGATTGGAACACCTGAATCACATGATATGGAGGGGATTGGAACACCTGAATCACATGATATGGAGGGGATTGGAACACCTGAATCACATGATTGGAGGGGATTGGAACACCTGAATCACATGATATGGAGGGGATTGGAACACCTGAATCACATGTTATGGAGGGGATTGGAACACCTGAATCACATGATTGGGAGGGGATTGGAACACCTGAATCACATGATATGGAGGGGATTGGAAACACCTGAATCACATGATTGGGAGGGGATTGGAACACCTGAATCACATGATATGGAGGGGATTGGAACACCTGAATCAAATGATTGGGAGGGGATTGGAACACCTGATTCACATGATATGGAGGGGATTGGAACACCTGAATCACATGATATGGAGGGGATTGGAACACCTGAATCACATGATTGGAGGGGATTGGAACACCTGAATCACATGATATGGAGGGGATTGGAACACCTGAATCACATGTTATGGAGGGGATTGGAACACCTGAATCACATGATTGGGAGGGGATTGGAACACCTGAATCACATGATTGGAGGGGATTGGAACACCTGAATCACATGATTGGGAGGGGATTGGAACACCTGAATCACATGATATGGAGGGGATTGGAACACCTGAATCACATGTTATGGAGGGGATTGGAACACCTGAATCACATGATATGGAGGGGATTGGAACACCTGAATCACATGATTGGAGGGGATTGGAACACCTGAATCACATGATTGGGAGGGGATTGGAACACACCTGAATCACATGATATGGAGGGAATTTTAACGCCTGAATCACATGATTGGGAGGGGATTGGAACACCTGAATCACATGATTGGGAGGGGATTGGAACACCTGAATCACATGATTGGGAGGGCGGTGTGACTGGTGACTTAACCCCTTGACGCCGGCGCCTCCAGGTCTTTAAGGGTTTCAGAAGCCGGGAGGCGGGGCGGGGTTTTAGGATCATGTGACAACCGTGATTCGCTGTCACGGCAGTCACATGATTGGGAAGGGTCCCGATCAAAAGAGGAGATCGGGACCTTTTTGTGATTACCAGACGTGTGCAGGGCGCTCGCTCTCAGTATATTTTTTTAATTGCACACAAATGTGCGGCCGCTCGGTGTCAAGGCCCAGACCCCAAGAGGTCGCACATTTACGTGCGCTCGGCGTGAAGAGGATAATCAAGCATGATGTGATTTGAAAAAAAAAAAAAAATATGAAAAAACAAATACCCGAAAATAAAAAACAATTGTTTATTTTTTTGCTGCATTTTGTTTTAGTTGTCACTTTTTATCCATAATGCCTCTTGTGCGCCGGACGTTTTTATTGACGCTTTTCATGGGCGTCGGGCGTTTTTAATTTTTCCCTCCTTGTTGGTCTATGCCTCCGTGCACACACAGACTTTTAGCAGCTTTTAGCGGCAGGAGAGTTTAGAGGCCGAAAAAAAAAACACTGCCAGTGTATCCAGGAGCGGTCGCGTTTCGGCAGAAAAAAAAAATGCATCTAAATGCGTGCTAATGCTTGGCGCGTTCAGTGCTTGAGCGTTCATTTCATTTCAATGGTCGGAATAAAAATATTATTTTGGCCAATGAAATAAACTGACCAAAAGAGAAAAAAGGACATTGCGCAGGATTGTGACCCGGAATAGGAAAACAACAAAAGTGACTGCAGAGCTCAATCTCAGTCTTCACAATCTCAGTCTTCACAGATCTCGGTCTTCACGGGACTGAGTTTGAGCTCTGCAGTCACTTTTGCAGCCATTCTTTTCTTATTCTGGGTTGCAATCCGGCGCAAAGAAAAAAGACTGCTGAAAAAGTGACTGCAGAGATCAGTCTCAGTCTTCATATGACTCAGTCTTCATGAGAATGAGATTGAGCTCTGCAGTCACTTTTTCAGCAGTTGTTTTCTTGTTCCGGGTCGCAATCCTGCGCAAAGAAAACAACTGCTGCACATTTGAGTGCAGAGCTCAATCTCAGTCTTCACAGAGCTTAGGTTTCACAGGACTGAGATTGAGCCCTGCAGTCACTTTTGCAGCCATTTTTTTATTCTGGGTTGCAATCCTGCACAAAGAAAAACAACTGGTGCAAATTTGACTGCACAGCTCAATCTCAGTCTTCACAGGACTCCGTCTTCATGGGACTGAGATTGAGCTCTGCAGTCACTTTTGCAGCAGTCTTTTTTCTTTGCACAGGATTGTGACCCAGAATAAGAAAACAGAGCTAAATCTCAGTCCCATGAAGGCAAAGTCCTGTGAAGACTAAGACTGAGCTCTGCAGTCACTTTTGCAGCCAATGTTTTCTTATTCTAGGTCACAATCCTGCGTAAAGAAAAAAAAACTATTGCAAAAGTGACTGCAGAGCACAATCTCAGTCTTCATACGACTCAGTCTTCATGAGACTGAGATTGAGCTCTGCAGTCACTTTTGCAGCAGTTCTTTCCTTGTCCTGTGTCACAAACCTTCACAAAGAAAAAAAAGACTGCTGTAAAATGGCAGAGCTCAATCTAAGTCTTAATGGGATTCAGTCTTCACGGGACTGAGATTGAGCTCTGCAGTCACTTTTGCAGCCAATGTTTTCTTATTCTGGGTCACAATCCTATGCAAAGAAAGCAATTGCTGCAAATTTGACTGCAGAGCTCAATCTCAGTCTTTACAGATCTCAGTCTTCACAGGACTTAGTCTTCACGGGACTGAGATTGAGCTCTGCAGTCGCTTTTGCGGCCATTTTTTTCTTATTATGGGTCGCAATCCTGCACAAAGAAAAAAGACTGCTGCAAAAGTGACTGCAGAGCTCAATCTCAGTCTTCACCGGACTCAATCTTCATGAGACTGAGATTGAGCTTTGGTGTTTTCTTATTCTGGGTCACAATCCGACTCAAAGAAGGAAACAAACAGTTGGAGAAAAAAAACAGGGGAAATGTTGTGAGAAAGTAACAGTTAGATCCAATTAACACTTGGAGGAAACAAAACAATTAGTGGAAAAAAGCAGCTGGAGAATAAAAACTGTTTGAGGAAAGAAAAACAGTTGTAGGAAATAACAGTTTAGCAGATAAGAGGAAACAAAACAGGCGGGAAAAAAAAGGAGGAATATAACCGTTGGATCAAATTTACAGTTGAAGGAAACAAAACAAGTTAGTGGAAAACAATAGCTGAAGGAAAAAAAAACAGTTGGAGACAATTAATAGTTGGAGGAAATAAAACAGAGGAAAAAAGAACAGTTGGGGGAAAGAAACAGAGTTGTAGGAAATAACAGTTGGATGAAATTTGTGATTGGGAGAAACAAAACACTTGGAGAAAAAAAACAGTTTGATAAAATTAACACTTGAAGGAAACAAAACAGTTGGAGGAAACAACAGCTGCAGAAATGTAGGGTTAGAGCAAACAAAACAGTCGCAGGGAAAAAAGTAGGAGGAGAACAGTTGGTTGTAAATTAATTGATTAAAAAAAATGGCTGGAGAAAGAAAAACAGTTGGAGGAAATAACAGTTTTAGAAATGTAACAGTTGAAGGAAACAAACAGTTGGAGGAAAAAAACAGAGGGGGGAAATGTTGGGAGAAAGTAACATTTAGATACAATTAACACTGGGAGGAAACAAAACAATTAGTGGAAAAAAGCAGTTGGAGATAAAAACTGTTTGAGGAAAGAAAAACAGTTGTAGGAATTAACAGTTGGAGAAATTCAGAAGATAGAGGAAACAAAACAGTTGTAGAAAATAAGCAGGAAAAAAGGCAATCAGTGGGAAAAAACAGTTGTGAAAAAAAACAGTAGATGGAGAGAAAAAAAAACAGTTGGAGGGAAAAACACAACTGAAGGAAAAAAAGAACAGTTGAAGGAAGTGAAAAAAGTTTGAGGAAATAACAGTTGTAGAAATGTAACAGTTAAAGGAAAAAAAACAATTGGAAGAAAAAAAATAAAGGGAAAAAGTTGGGGGAAAATAACAGTTGGATAAAATTAACACTTGGAGGTAACAAAACAATTAGTTGAAAAAAGCAGTTGGGGAACCAAACCATTGGAAGAAAGAAAAAACAGTTGTAAGAATTTTTAACAGTTGGAGCAATTTAGCAGTTGGAGGAAACAAAACAGTTGGAGGAAAAAACAGCTGTAGAAAAAAGGGTTGGAGGAAATAAAACAGAGAAAAGGAGAAAAGTTAAAGAAAAAACAATCAGAGGAAAAAAAAGTTGTAGAAAATTAACATTTGGAGGAAACAAAACAGTAAAAAAAAACAGTTGGAGGAAAGTAAAACAATTATAAGATAACAGTTGGAGAAATTAAAGGGTTAACAAAACAGTTGTACGGAAATAATTTTGGGGGATACAACAGCTGTAAAAAAAATTACAGTTGGAGGAAACAAAACAAGCTGGTGGAAAACCAGTTGGAGAAAAAAAGTGTTGGAACAAAAATAAAAAACAGTTGGAGGTCAAACATCTGAAGCAAAAACAGTTTAGAAAATAAGCAGGAAAAAAAAGCAATCAGTGGAAAAAACAACTGTGAAAAAAACAATAGATTAGGAAGAAAAAAAAACAGTTGTAGAAAATAAACAATTGAAGGGAGTAAAAATAGTTAAAAGAAAAAAAGAACAGTTGAAGGAAGTGAAAACAGTTGGAGGAAATAACAGTTGTAAAACTGTAGCAGTTGAAGGAAAAAAAAAACAATTGGAGGAAAAGAAAACAGAGGGAAAAAAACAGTTGGATAAAATTAACACTTGGAGGTAACAAAGCAATTAGTGGAAAAAAGCAGTTGGAGAAAAAAACTGTTGGAAGAAAGAAAAAACAGTTGTAAGAATTTTTAACAGTTGGAGCAATTTATCAGTTGGAGGAGACAATACAGTTGGAGGAAAATAACAGTTAGATCAACTTTACAGTTGGAGGAAACAAAAAAGTTAGTGGAAAAAACAGCTGTAGAAAAAAGGGTTGGAGGGAAAAAAACAGTTGGAGGAAATAAAACAGAAAAAAGGAGAAAATTCAGAGGAAAAAAATTGGAGGAAAATAAAGTTGTAGAAAACAAACAAACTAAGCCGTTTCCGTGCAAAAAAAGGTGGTGGGAGAAAATAACTGTTGAATGGAATTTACGATTGGCGGAAACAAAACATTTGGAGAAAAACACAGTTGGATAAAATGGCACTTGGAGGAAACAAAACAGTGGGGGGAAAAAACAGGAGAATATTAACAGGTGTAGGAAATAAAACAGTTAGTGGAAAATAAGAATTGGAGAAAATAAAAAAAAAGGTGGAGGAAATAACAGTTGTGCAAATGTAACAGTAGAAGGAAACAAAACAGTTGGAGGACATGAAACAGAGGAAAAGAGAACAGTTGGAGGAAGGAAACACAGTTGGAGAAAATAAAAGTTGGAGAAATGTAACAGTTGGAGGAAAAAAAAACAGTTG